TTCCTATTTCACAGAGACTTAGACACATAAAGTAGCTTTTCCAAAGTCACAGCCAAATCTGGACTATACATCTCCTCTTTCCATTAAAACCACAGAGATAGGGGGTTACAAACCTTTTCTGTAAAGTCCCAGATAGTAAATGGTTCATGCTTTGTGGACCACTTATGGTCCCTGTCTCATACTGGTTTTTGTTTGTTTTTAAACACCACTTTAAAAATATAAAAACCATTCTTAACAATATGCCGGTGCAAAAGTGACCATGTGCCACCTTTGGCCCGAGGGTTGTAGTTTACCAACCTCTGATTATAGATTATGCTGATAAATCAAAATATAACGAAACCTAACGAAATGCATATACTTAGGAAGCCTTACCCTTTGTTAGTAATAATTGTTTATATTTATGTTTACAATGCACCAAATATTGTTTCAAGCGTTTTGTTTGCATGTATTAAGTTATTTCATCCTCACAGCCACCCTATTCGATAGGTACTATTGTCAGCCCCATTTTACAGAAGGGGAAACTGAGGCACAAGGAGGTTAAGTAACTCTCCCAAGGTCACATGGTCAGTAAGTAGCACAGATGGGATTCAAATCCAAGCAGTTCAGCCATTCACCTGACCATTTTGTATCTAGGTTGGGAACATTAACTTATACAGCTATTTGGGGGAGGGGGAAAAGGATGAGGGGGGGGCGGTTGAGCAAGCCCTAGAAGCTTCTGGAATAAATATGTTTTAGAACCATTCTCCTTGGAGCTAAGGAGTCATGGATATAGGCGGCCTGTGTTGTGTAAAGAATCGCCAGGCTGGAAGCCTGTGGTGGGTTGCCTTCATGCCGTGACAACAGAGGATAGGATATGGATGAGATTGCAGAGGCATCTTGATTTGAGAAAGGCACTTGATTGGATCTCATTAAATTTTAATCATAAGCTGAATTCAAAATAAATTGAAAACTGGTTGACAGAGCATAAACAAAGGATGATGATAAATGGTGATACATCTAGAGAGGGGAAATCTTCCAGGGGACGCCTCTGAGGCAAGGACGGATGGGATTTAATGAAGGTGTTATGTCCCTGGAAGAAGACAAATAGCAGAGCAAGAAACAGAGGAAGAGCAGGAGTGAGCAGCCTGAGTAATTAATAAACCACAGGCTCGCTGCTGTTCGCCAACTGCTTGGGTTTTTTAAAGTATTCTTTGGGTCAACGATAGGGTTGAAGGGTCCCAGACACACAGCATGAATATTTCAGGTGGTCATTATAAATAAATATATAAATTTACAGCTAGGAAGATCCTCAGATTCAATTTGAATCAGATACTTTCAATTACAGATTTTCAAGGTCTTAACTTCATCCTCCAGGGAGTAGTTTTTTGGCTTTATTTAGTTTTATGTGTCTAAAAGTTATGGATTTAAAAAAAAAATCTTTAAACTCATTAATGTTCTTTGTTTACTGCCCAAATGCATGCAAACTTTCACAACATCGGTTTGCTTAGTGGAAGTTGGTTTTGAATGAACTGTTTGGCTCAGGGTCAAATTCCGGTGAATAAATACTTCCAAGTTTACTTGCAGAAGTTCCCAGACAGAGCAGTTCTTCCATTTGGTTTGCCAGAGGATTGAAAGCAGTGGTGAGCCCTGGAGACAATGGAGCATGTACTGGCTCTTGTCCATACCCCTGCACAGTACGGCTCAGGTCAGGCCCAAGGCAGCACAGTGTGACCTGACCTGATTTGAAGAAGTCTGCTCTGGGACGTCTCTGAGCAGCTAAACAAGGAGGAGATGGACTGACGGAAACAGACTGACTAGGCCCCCTTGGAAGTTGGTAATAAACACTCAGAGAACAACCTCACCACAGCCCATGGGTTGTCTGTTTGTTTGTTTGCTTGTTTCAGATAAGATTTTTCTACGCACACATTGGCGATTCTTAATTCAGTCCAGGCCCAGAGCGAAGGAGAGGAAGAGGCAGACGGGAAAAATCAGGAGAGAAAGGAGATGGGGTAGGAAAGAAGAAAGGAGAAGGGATGAGAGAAGCAAGGAAAGTTGAAAAACTTTGAAGGAACTTTTTAAAAATTTGCCCTTCATTGGTGTAGGAGAGGGACTTATTTAAATTGTGACGTTGATGTCGTCCTGGGTGTGAGAAGGCGCAGTTGGAAGGAAAGGGGAAGAACGGATCCAGGTAAAAGGCAAGAGTGTTATAAGTAAGCTGGTGTGCCAGGAAGACATCCCAGAAGAGGAAGGGAGTTCAGACATGGAGGGAGACCTGGTGACCTTGGCATGGGAAGGAAAAACACAGGAACCCTGAGCACGGGGAAACAATGAGGCAGATAAGAGCCAAGTTTCCCTTATCACTGAGTAAGCTGCCAAGATCCCAGCCAGCCTAAATTTGCAGGGTGGAAGGAAGGGGGACCTGTGGGCCGGGGGGCTCCAATCGGTCCCAAATAGCTTGATTTCAGCTGCCTTATCAGGGAACCAAGCCAAACGGGCACAGCTCTTGGGGTCACAAGGTAGATGAAAGTCCACTCTCCTCCCTTGTTTGTAACTTCTCTTCTCCAGGAAGGGCTGCCACACACACACACACACACACACACACACACACACACACACACACACACACACGAAGCTGAGCCGTCAGACATGGAAGCATATGAGGGCTAGTAGGAGCTTAGCTGGGCAAGAGATGCAAACAATGTCAGAGGGGACAGGACAGCCTGGGTCTCATGAACTAAAAATATCTTGGTGACAACAGCACTGGGAAGAAACAAGAGAGGCCCGGGGGAGGGGGGGGGAGCTTCTTGATTCCAAGTCTCAGATACTTTCTCACCAAAGGAAGGATTACAGGATTGTTTTGATAAGGAAATAGGATCAAATATTAGGGGTCATTTCGTGGGACCTGAAAGGAATTTAGAGTTTAATGTGCCTCATCTGTGTTCTTTTCTGCATCAGTTGCCTTCAATTCATATGTGGTTTTTTTTTTAAAGGCTAATTTAAAATTGCCAACAGCAGAAAAGTGATTTGAATTTAAGGATGTTTCTGAGATTTCGATTCTGCGAGGTGTAAAATACATTGAAGACAAACTTCCCCCATAGTCTGTCTTCCTGAGTGCCTGTTACAGGAAGCCTGCAAATATGACTGCCTTCGCCTGGAACTCATCACAGGTGAAACATCTTGAAATTCCTGACCTCTCATCCCAGGGGGACAGAGAGAGCCATCTAAAAGCATAACGAGGACTATACCAGGGCCTCGATAATCCACAGAAACAGCTTGGCAATACCAAAAGTCATGAGTCAGCCCACCCCAATAAGCCAGGGCCTGTTTGAACTATACCGACGGAGAGTAATTGCCCCAAAGAAACAATAACAACAAAAGCAGTGGCTTGGAAAAGGTTAAGGATTCTGTGCGTCTGCCATCTAATAACATGTCCAATCATCGTCATCACCCTTACATGGTATCAGGATGTGCTTCCTTTCACCTCCCATGAAAGCACCCTCCCCAACCCCCACAGTGACTGGTCTGGCTCAGGAGTAATTTCCAGCCTAATGAAACCAGGCTGGAACCAGTCAGTAACACAGCCTCATGGAACCCGGCTTCTCGGCCAGTTCTTTGGCCTGCCTTGACTCTGTGGGCAAGTGCACAGGACAGTACTTACCGTGTAACCCAAACGGGACATGTACTAATTCAAGAAACCCCTGGTTTTTCTCCTAGTTAGCGAGAGCCAATAAAAACACCTACATTCCAAGGAGCTCTCCCCCAGAGCCATTAGGCTGCCTAGCCTCCCCCAGCCTTTCTCCCAGACTACTGGCTTACCTTTTGCCTCGAGAGATGAGTGAAACAGAAATCAGAGCAGCTAATGTGAAAAGATCCTGAGCGCTTAGAGGTGTTTGATAGTTATTGGGAGCGAGGGGGTAGGAAAAAGACTAAGAAACAAAGTCCTTTTCCGCCAGGGACTAACCATCTAGTAACAGAAGGTAAAATTAATACATTTGAAAAAAATCAATAAAAAATAACAAGTCTTCCAAAGACTTGGGTGCATTACGGCACCCCTTTGGGACCCCTGTTACCCTAACTTTATTTTGTTAGAAGGGAATTTAGACAAAATCATGTTAGTTCACTACCCCTGCCTCTCACCCCCACACATTTTATTGATGAAAAAATCCAGGACTCGGGAAACTAAAGTGAATTGCCTAAGTCTCAGAGTCAGCGAGAAGGGGAGTGAGAACTTGAAACCAAGTTTCTTGTCCTCTTTATTTATTTATTTTTTATTAATCATTCGGTCTCATTTTGTTTTCTGCTCTTTAAAAATATCCCCCTATTCTAAAAGACCATCTTGAACTTGAAAGTCACATGAAGCTTGATCAGCTTCTAAGATAAAGTAATAACATTTTTCCCTTGTTTTCCCTAAAGGCTCTGTCCAATGCCAGCAAATGTCTGGGTTGCTTGGAGGGGAGGAGGGCTGCGGGAGAGGGACTGAGAAGACAGCCTAGTCTAGAGCCAGCACAGAGCCGAGCTGATCTTCCGGGCCCAAGAATGTGGTGTTGATTTTTTCCGAGCATGAAACAGGGATCAAGAAAACTTGGGAGTTCGCCTTCCATCTCTGCCACTGACGTGTCCTGGGGCTGGAAGCCAATTTCTTAATCTTTGCCATCCCCAGCACCTTCCTCGGAGAAATGGGGCTTGTATTCTTAACCGAAACTTGTAGAGACACTTAAGTACTCAAACAAATGGTTCCCAGGCAGCTCCGAACCGTACCCGATGTGTACTCCAAGAGTTAATCTCGGCTCGCTGGTCTGAAATACTAAACCACCAACACTTTTCTCACTTTTCAGAAACTTAACTGTCATTTTCTCAGTCTGCGTCGGTCTCTAACATGTTCAAGTTAAAGGTGCAGAGAGGGAGGTGGGGGAAAGTCAGGCAAAACATTTCAGTGAGTGAGAAAACAAGAATGTTTTGAAAATGGGCCATTGGTTAAGAAGTAAAGCTAGGCAGGCTAAGTTAAGTCTAAAACAACTTACCGTAGAACCACTAACAGGCAGACCAGGCCACAGGGTGGGCACGCGCTCTCTCTCCCGTGTCACTCCACCTTGGGTCGCTCGGCTGCCCTCCACCCTCTCCAGGCCCAGGTAAGCAGTACAACAAACAGGCTCCGAAGCAGGAAGTGGAAGTTATATGCAAATTTCTACTGAGGCTAGGAAGCCTCGGCTCAGAAATCTCCCTGTGGGCAGTGTGAATCAACAGCCGAGAAGTCACTTTATTTCTTAAAACAGAAACCTCCTTCAATTCACTAGAAAAGGCTACTGACCAATTAGGCTGCATTTTTGTCCCCCCAACCACCCAGCTAAATAACTGCCGAGGAATGTACCCCCTGGCCCTCAGCGTTATCGCAGCTCCCTAGCCTGAGCGGTGCCTGGGGAGGGGATTGGATGTGGGGTTAAGATTGGTTATTTGTTAGCAGCTCCAAAGGAGAAGACTGGGGGTAGATAGTGGCATATAAAGTAATAGTTTCTTAATATTTCTAACTGTTGAAAACACCAGCATTTACTGCCCTTAACCCATTCCCCTGTGAGCACGTACACGTAAATACACACACACACACACACATAACCCCCCCCACACACACACACACACTCACACTCACATACACACACACACACACACACACACACCCTCCTCTGGCTGTTTTTTTCATGACCTCAAGTTTATTTTCTCCCCCTCCCTTCTTGTTCAATCAGTAGCCTAAAAATGTATTGCTGAAGGAGATCTGGAGACAGGATGACTGGGGCAGCAGAGTGTGATGAGGGCTGTGGTGCCCGGAGCTCTGCAGTCAGAGGGACCTGGGTGTGAGCTCAGTTTTGCCACTGGCCAGCTGGACACCACATCTTGGTCCTAGTAGGCACACACTGTGCTCCTGGGGCTGGCCTTGCCTGCCTGTTGAAGAGGCCCGAGGGTCAGCCCACTCGGCAGGCTGGCTCTCCACCCTTGGGCAGGGGACAGTTCCCAGAGCATCCCCAGCCAGAGTGCCAGGTTCTGCTCAAGCGAGCCATGTGAAGCGGGTTGCTCTACATTCTACAAGCAGAGTGAATGTGGCTTTTTTTTTTAATATATAATTTCTTTTTAACTTTATTGGGGAACAGTGTGTTTTTCTCAGGACCCATCAGCTCCAAGTCAAGTTGTTGTCCTTTAATCTTAGTTGCGGGAGGGGGCGCAGCCCGCCATCCCATGTGGGAGTCGAACCGGCAGCCTTGTTGTTAAGAGCTTGTGCTCTAACCAACTGAGCCATCCGGCCGGCCCTCGGCTTGTTTTTAAAACAGCATATATAGGTTGTACACGTTTTGGTATATCCTTACAATGGAATACTACACAGCTGTTAAAAACTATAGATATTTATTTCTAAATATATTTATTTCTACATACTAATATGGAAAAGTAGATATTGTTTATTGAAAAACATGATCTCCTTTTTTGCCAATATATACAAAGATAAACAAACATACATATATAGATACATAGATAGATTTATGTGTGTTTACCACTGGTCCCAGCAACTAGCACACTATTCAGAACATGGTAGGCAACTGCTATATATATATCTGTCAAATGCCCCAAAATGACAGAAATTTCTGGAAGAATGCATGCCATATCATTAAGTGGTTGTTACCTCCACTGAAGAGGTTGAGGGGAATGAATCAGAATGGATGACTTTTATACGATACACACATATGAGCTCTTTGACTTTTTTTTCTCCCCACAACAAGCATAGAGTACTTTATTCATTAAAAATAATAAAGGTATTTTGTTTAAATAGTAAACAAATTACCTTGGCCATGGACTTTCTGCCTCAAAATTATTATTATAATAATCTTTTTTTAGGGTAGGGTGTTTGGTACCAGGATACTTTGGGGGTGAGGGGATGAGAACAGAAAAGAGAAGAATAGCAAGGGGACGGGCTGGCTGAGTGGCGCGTTGGTTAAGAGCTGGCTTGGAACACCAGCTCTGAGCAGCAGAACCCCCATTCAGATCCCACATATGAGGGCCAGTGACACTGCCCTCTACAGCTAAGATGGTGAACAACAGCTCAAGCTGGAGCTGGGCTGCCTTGAGTCCCTGGTGGTGACATAGGCTGCAGCCCCTGCTGCAGTGGGCTGCCATAAGCTACCGTGAGTAGCCGGCAGCCAGCGTGAGCGGCCAGCAGCCGCCGTGAGTGGTTGTCCAGAGGCCGGTGACCAATCTGCCTCAGTCGGGAAGAGCGCAATGATCACAATACCAACATGGGCCAGTGAAGCAACATCCTCCACAACTAGACTGAAGAACAAAAGGACAGCAACTTGTCTCTTCCCCTTCCCCAATTCCCCAATAAAATCTTTAAATAAATAAATAAATAAATAAGAATAGCAAGGGGGAGGAAACAAAAGGGAGAGCAACGAAAAGGGTGGGATGAAAAATATTTTTCATTTATTTTAGATAACCTTAAATGGATTGGGGAAAGCCTGGAAGATGCTTCTGTCAAGTACTGCCTTTGGAACACAATCCATCAGGAAGAACAAGGGGAAATTTTTTTTCCCTTTCTCCTACCATTCCCCCAGGTATAAGAGGCCTAAGGGTCCTATAGGAAGAATACCAAGTGCTGAAGTATTACTTTCAATTGCAGTTAGCTGAGCCTTCCTCCTATCTCAACTTATCCTAAGCAGAAAAGCAGGCACTTGGGGGAATGAGTTAATGGTTTCCCTTTGCTGAGGCCCCTACTGAAAAACAGTGTAGGGATATAAACTGTTTAAGAGAGGGCGTCCTCAACATGAGAAATTTCAGTTGGAACATGCCCGAGGGAGTTACAGTGAAATATGATTACAGTGGAAGTGTCAGATAGTCTGGGAAACGGACACTTCTGGCCCCCAGAAGTTCCCACTGGGAGCTAGTTTTCAGGCCCACACACATACTCTTTTAGCTGCCATCACAGGAAGGGAACTCTTCACTGACAACCTATTATACACTATCTGTTACCACGCTTAATCCTCCAGGTAGTCCCATGAGCTGCACTTACTGTCATTCTCACTTTACCTTTGAGGAATCCCAGGCTCAGAGACATTGAGTAACTTCCCCAAGGTCACACAGCCAGACTGTGGAGAAGGATTCCAGAACTGTCTCACTTCCAGGTGGCTAATGCTTCTCCTCGCCCCATTGCCCTCTTGTAGCCTGTTCTTGCTACATGTTTGGGTGGAACACAGGTAACTTTGTTTCTTTGCACAACTCTTGACAAGTTCAAGTGGGGGAAAAAAAGTTTAGGCAATAAAAGGGTAGGGCTGAGACTGTGCCAGTTGCCATGGTGCTGTATTTATATGGTGATGGCTGCTGTATAAATAATAGGTAAAGTAGTCAAGATGTAGGTCAGCTCTCTTCCTCCAGTTAAAAGTCTAGGAAGGGAGCATTTGTGTCTGCCAGATTCTAGAGTTTGTTCAGTATTCTTGCAAAAGGCATAATTAGATAAAGGTCAGCTCTTCCCATCTCTGTAAACAAAACAAAACAAAATAAAAAACAATTTGGATCTAATGCTCAGACACTCTTCATTCCCCAGCACTATTCTATGAAAAAAAAGGGGGGGAAAGGAAGATTCATTCCTTGGACAAGCCTTGATTTTCCATTTTTAAATGCGATGACTTTAAGTGCTGAAAGGACAGAACAAAACTATGACACATCATGAGGAAGAGAACACTCCCCGTCATGCACTGTGCTGATAATGGGCCTTGTTCAAGGGGTCCCCAGCACTCCAACACCATTAAATAACTCCCCACAACTTCTTATAGTGGAATCACTGTGGGGACAGAGGCAGGAAGAGAGGAAACGCCCAGGCTCCTAGTGCCTGGTCCTGCCCTTCCTGGTTACTTCAGTACCACAGCCTTCAGTGAGAGCTTGACTAATAAGCATACAGGCTGAAAGATTCTTTCTTTCTTTATTTCTTTTTTTTTTTTTAGAGATTTTTATTGGAGAATTGCGGGAAGGGGAACAGACAAGTTGCTGTCCTTTGGTTCTTCAGTCTAGTTGTGGAGGACGTTGCTTCACTGGTCCAAGTTGGCACCATCATTGCGCTCTTCCCAGGCGAGGCAGATCAGTCGCCGGCTTCTGGACGGCCGCTCACTGTGCCCGGTGGCTGCTGGCCGCTCACGCTGGCTGCTGGCTACATACGGTAGCCCATGGCAACCCACTGCCACAGGGACTGCAGCCTACGCCGTCGCCGGGGACTCATGGCAGCCCAGCTCCAGGTTGAGCTGTTGTTCAGCATGTTAGCTGTGGAGGGCAGTGTCACTGGCCCTCATATGTGGGATCCGAACCGGGGCCCTCTGGCATCCCAAGCGAGTTCTTAACCATCGCGCCACTCGGCCGGCCCCCAAGCCAGCTCTTAACCAATGCGCCACTCGGCCAGCCCGGCTGAAAGATTCTTAACATGCTCTTGTGTCTCCCTCAGAAGCAAAAACTGGAGATCCAGGAAGCTCCCAACCAACTAGCCGCTGGACAAGCTGAGAGCTGCCGATGTCTTCCCCACTGTTTTGGTGCACTGCTTCGAGCCCAGAGGGGCTGCCAGAGCCAGGCAGAAGCTAGAACCCATCACCACCCTCCCCAACCCCTGGCAAGTTCAGGTCTGGAACTGTTTCCGGTTCTGTCAGCAGATTCAAGCAGGACCTAAAGAATCTAACCAAGAGGTCCTGGTAACATAGACTCTCACAAGGAAAGGGTTAGCTCTCAATCTTTTTCCTCCCAAGAGGTTACTTGACTACAGTATAGATTTACTCAGCTCCTTCCTCTACCAAGGGACTGTTGAGAACAGCAACATCATCACCTGGCATGCCATTCACCTAGGGCATTGGGTGTGTCTATTCACCTTACATTTGCATACTGAAAGGGGAGCTCTCCAAAGTTCTGAGAAAATCCAAAGGTTATCTGCTCCAAGGTGATTCCCGTCATGATCGACTGGACCCCAAGTTGCTGGCAGCTTCTCTTGTTAAAAAATGGTAAAGTTCTAACACTGGGAACCTCATTACTACCACCCCAATAATCATAGCTAACCTTCAGATAGTGCTTATTAAGTGCCAGCGGTGTGCTAACTTTGCATGCATAAACTCATTTAATGTTCACAATAACTCTATGAGGTAGGTACTATAAGATTAAGATTAGCTACCATTTATTGAGTATCTACTATGTGCCAAGTGATTTTCATTATTTGTATAAGGAAGTAGAGAGAAATTCACCAGAACTCCAGATAGCTGCTTCCTGAGAGAGAAAAGCAGATAGAGACCAGACTCTGCTTCCTGTGGGGGCTGAATACAGCAGGGCAAGTCAGAAGAGAGGAATGTTTGGACAGGGACGCTGAGAAAGCGGCATGAGCCC